GGGGAGGGGAGGTGTGTCTCCTTCCGCAGCCGGGTGCAGCCACTGACATCATTCGGGCGCTCTCCGTGGAAACGCGCAGTATCTCGTATCTGCCCAGTGAAGGACGGGAAATAACACCCTTCAGGGCTGTTCTTGAGCCGGTGGTGGCTGGATTCCCTGAGGAGCAGACAGGCGTGGCGTATATGTTCTTGTCTTTCCAAGTGTGCAGTCGGTGGGAAGTGGAATTGGGTCCCTGAAGTCTGTTCCCAGAGGGTCTGAGCAAGGAATAATATCATTGTTATAAACAAATAGATTCTTGAGGGGAAAGGAATATAAAAACACGAAATGTTATGAGCTGCTTCTCAGTAGTTTTCAGAGTTTCATAGTTTTCAGGGCCAAGTCTTTCCGAGATCATTTCCCGTTATTTCTAGACACAGTGTCGTAATATCAAAACTGACAAAAGCATAAAAAATTAATCCAATTCCATGTCTGCGCTTGAATTATTAATACAGAGTTCTTGCCAAATGGTGCTCGGCCCTCTGCTGAAATAGCTCTAGTCATGGGTCACTATTTCTTTGCATTGTTTGTTGCTGTTTTGCTTTGTTTTGCACTGAACTGTGAAATATATATTTGAGTCCACAATGCTTGTCCTTTCAAGTTTCTCAGTGTTCACCGTGGAACATCTTGGCAGAGCTTGCTTGCCGCCCCCTTGTTTTTGTACTGCACACAGTATATTACAATGGGTGTTTGTCAATTTCTTCTTGATCCACAGAAGAAAAATTCTCTTGTTAATAATTTAGTCAAGTATATAGTTTGTTGGTTTACCAGTTGGGTATTTCTGAGTCACCATGGGGCTGTTTTCCAGCAGCTCACATTCTGTTTGCTTGCTTATGGCTTTAAATGCCTCTCATGTATTACAGCAGGCATAGGATAAGAACAATTATGTACACATAGAAAGTATAAAGCTCATTTAAAAAAAAGTCATAGTCTTAAGTTGACTTAGTGGATCTTTTATTGATGAAAATTATATTCCAAAGCAAGCCTCGCCTTGTTTTGGAAAATATTAACTCCTTTTATTTCTTTCTATTGTGTTTTATAAAGCAGCTCGTTGGGTTCCGTTTCTGACCCTCTCTATTTCTCCACAGGTGGATTGGCATCCTGACTCTGTACCTCATGCACAGAGGGAAGCTGGACTGTGCTGGTGGAGTCCTGCTCAGCACTTACTTGATCGTTCTCTTGGTTCTCTTGGCACTTGTTATATGTACTCTGTCAGCCATCGTGCATGTCAGCATGAAAGGTAGAGTAGCCTTTTCTCTGAGATATAATTCACACACCATGCGATACACCACACGATTTAAAGTGTACAATTCAATGATTTTTAGTATAGTCACAGAGTTGTGCAACCATTACCACAATTTTAGAACATTTTCATCACCCCAAAAGGAAATCCTGTACCTATTAGCAATAACTCATCGTTTCTCCCTAATTCTCTCAGCCCTAGGCATCCACTGATCTGCTTTCTGCCTATAGATTTGCCTATTCTGGACACCATATAGGTGGAATCATCCGCTGTGTGGCCTTTTGGTCTGGCTTCTTAAACTTAACATAAGGTTTTCAAGGTTCATACATGTTATAGCATGTATAGTACTTCATTACTTTTTATGGCTGAGTGATAATTACATTGAATGGATTACCACATTTTACTTATTCATTCCTCAGCTGATGGACATTTGGCTTCTCTCCACTTTTTGGCTATTATAAACAATGCTGCTATGAACATTTGCATACATGTTTTTGTCTAGACATGTTTTCATTTCTCTTGGATATGTACATAGGGGTGGAATTGCTAGATCATTTGGTAACTCTATGTTTAACCTTCTGAGGAACTGCCAGATTGTTTTCCAAGCAGCTGTACCGTTTTTCTTTCCCACCAGCAGTTCATAAGGGTTCCCGTTTCTCCACATCCTCATCAACACTTGTTATTATCTGGCTTTTTGATCATAGCCATCCTAGTGGATGTGAAATGGTATCTTATTGTGGTTTTGATTTTCATTTCCTTGATGACTAGTGATATTGAGCATCCTTTCATATGCTTATTGGCCACTTGTATATTATTTTTGGAGAAATGTCTATTCAGATCCTTTGCCCAATTTTAAATCGAGTTATTTGTCCTTTTATTAATGAGTTGTAAGAGTTACATCTGTTCCTTTTTTTTTTTTTAACGAGGAAGATTAATCCTAAGCTAACATCCAATGCCAGTCCTCCCCTTTTTTTGCTGAGGAAGATTGGCCCTGGGCTAATATCCATGCCCATCTTCCTCTACTTTATATGGGATGCTGCTACAGCACGGCTTGACAAGCCGTGCATCGGTCCGTACCCGGGATCTGAACCTGTGAACCCTGGGCCTCCGAAGTGGAGCATGCAAACGTAACCGCTATGCCACCGGCTGGCCTTTACATCTATTCTTAATGATAATTTTTTTCTACATGTACTGTTTTCTGCATACAGTCACTTAACTGGGACTGTCTCTGAAAATGTTGGAAACCTTCCTTGTTTGATTGCTCTGGTTCGTAGGATGAGCTGAGCACTCTAGTGACTAATAAAGAAATGCATTAGTAAATAAAAACTCATCAGTCAAAGGCAGAGCTGTATGGCATGCCACCATCTAATGTGTTTCAGTGTTTTATCACTGCTTGAATCGGGATGTAGGAGGCATGCTTACAGATTGTAGATGATGATGGTGATAAAACTGGGAGGGCGAGCTGATACATGGGTGACAAAATCAAGATCCTGACAGTTTGGAATGGTAGACTGGAACTTAAAAGATGATAGTTCACGGGGAGAAATATAGAGAGAAATGTTAGTGGCAAAGTGTTTCATGAGAAAAAGACCTTAGGGTTTTGATGACCAAGAAGCGTGGCATTTGCCTGCCTTCTATAGTAATATATAGAAAATAGAGCTCTGTGTATTTTAGTATACCTCTGAGAACATGAATGCATAGGGTCTGGTTCAAAGAAGGTCCCAGTTCTGTGGTGTGTGTCGGTCCCCAAGTCTGGATTGTCATTGGTGCTGGATGCTGAAGGAAAAGAGGGAACTGAATGTGGACAATGTGGCTTTAGCACTATGAAGTTATTAATGAAGTCAGAATTTCTGAAAGATGAAGGATTTAGATTGGTGTCTTTTCAGATATAGCATTATCTAAATTATTTGCCCTTTTTGTTCATGTCACATTCTGGTTGGTATACCAAGTTTACAACTGTAGTAGTGGGTTCAGATTTGAAGCAGTAAGTGTCAGCTTTCTTTTCCTTAAATGTTTTCTTTCAGATATTTTTGGTGGTGTCAGGGCACATTCTCACCCTGGTGATGGATGGCCATATTCACTCCTAGGCACTTGCACAGTGCCTGCACCATCACACACTTCTGGTCAGAGTTCAGAAAACATCTGTGGGTCATACAGGATGTTATGGGTGGATCGTCTATCCAGCAGCCTCCTCCAAACAGAACCCAATTTTATTCAGGATGTTCCCCCATCCCTCATATACTAAGCATATGTGTCAGAGAAGCTGGCCCTCTGCCCACCTCAGGAATAATCCTCGTGTGTCAGTGATTGGTTCAGGAATGGACATGTGACCCAGTTTGGGCCAGTGAAATTCAGGGATTTTGCTGGGAAATTCTGGGGAAGTCCTTCTTTGCTCCTCTAGGAAAGATCCAGAAGCAACATACTGTTTTCCTTTTGGATGGTGCTGTGCGTGGATGAGCTGCTGAGTTCCTGCTGTATCTCCACTCACAGCCAGGATGAGCTGACGTACAGAAGAGGGCAGGGCTGTGAGAAGCACAGGGAGCTCTGATGCCTGTCCTGGCTCTGTGCTTCCAGTCCCTAAAGTCAGTACAAGACCTTCCTGTTATTAAACTGGTTTGAGTTGGATTTTCTGTTACTTGTGGCTAGAGATAATCACAGCTGAACTGAAAACAGTATTTCATAAAAACATGTTAGTTTAATTGCCAATTTATTACAAATAATTAGCATTGTATACTTTATTAAAAATGCTATGTAAATTTCAGTGAAAAACCATGAAGAAAAAAAAGACAGATGGGAAAAAATATAACTCATGAGACTTAGAGCCAATCTCCTTAATATATAAGGGCTTCTATGATAAATAAGAAAAAGACCAATAATCAGTAGAAAAATGGGCAAAGATCATGAACAGCAGAATAAATATGTGACTTTTACATATATAAAAGACGTTCAGTTTCAATCACAGTAAGAAAAATTCAGTTAGATAATACATTGAGTTGGTGAGGCTGTGCAGAAACAGGCAGCTCATTTAGTTGGTGGGAATGTAAATTGGTTGAATCTCTTGGAAGCCCAGTTTGGCTCTGTGTGTGTGTGTGTGTGTGTGTATCAGTCAATTTTTTCTTATGTGTTTGCACGTGTGCAAAGAAGTACTAGTAGGGATGTTCATTGCAGTATTGTCTGTAGGTACGAAAGATTGGAAATGCCTGTCAATAGGCCACTGTTAGGTAAAGTGTAGTTCATTGATATGAAGATCTACTGTGCATCTGTGAAACAGAATGAGGAATACTTTGTGAGGAGAAAAGGAGTGATTTCCAATATGCTAAGGTACAGGACATTGTATGTAGTTTGCTGCTTTTTTCTAAAGGGTATATATGTTACATATTTTGTTTATATGCAGACTCTGGGTGCCTACACAAGTTACTAGTTTACGTCTAGGAAGGTAACTGAAAGACTGAAGTTCAGCGTGGGGAGCAAGGCTTAATATCTACTTTATACCCTCTTGAACTATTTGAACTTATTGCCCTTTATGTACCTTACCTGCACAAAATCAGTGTTCTTTTACAAACTGTAAATTTTAGGTATGTTTTTTTTCTTTTTATTTATTTATTTTTTTATTGTGAAATTTTGTTGTACATAATTGTTTATCAGTCACCATATAAGTGCATCCCTCCACCCCTTGTGCCCACCCCCCACCCCCTGGCCCCTGGTAACCACCAAACAGTTCTGTCTGTCTGTGTGTTGGTTTACCTTCCACATATGAGTGAAATCATGCACTGTTTGTCTTTCTCTTTCTGGCTTATTTCACTTAACATAATACCCTCCAGGTCCATCCATGTCTTGGCTATAGTGAATAATGCTGCGATGAACATAGGGGTGTATAAACCTCTTTGGATTGTTGATTTCAGGTTCGTTAGATAGATTCCCAGTTGGGGGGTAGCTGGATCATAAGGTATTTCTATTTTTAATTTTTTGAGGAATCTCCATACTGTTTTCCATAGAGGCTGCACCAGTTTGCATTCCCACCAGCAGTGGATTAGGGTTCCCATTTCTCCACAGCCTCTCCAGCATTTGTTGTTTTTTGTCTTGGTAATTATAGCCATTCTAACGGGTGTAAGGTGATATCTTAGTGTGGTTTTGATTTGCATTTCCCTGATGACTAATGATGTTGAGCATCTTTCCATGTGCCTATTGGCCATCTGTATATCTTCTTTGGAGAAGTGTCTGTTCATTTCCTCTGCCCATTTTTTGATCGGGATTGTTTTTTTTTTTTTTTGTTATTCAGTTGTGTGAGTTCTTTGTATATTATGGAGATTAATCCCTTGTCAGATATATAGTTTGCAAATATTTTTTCCCAGCCGGTGGGTTCCCTATTCATTTTGATCCTGGTTTCATTTGCCTTATAGAGGCTCTTTAATCTGATGAAGTCCCACTTGTTTATTTTTTCTTTTGTTTCCCTTTTCTGTGTAGACGTGGAATTCAAAAAGATCCGTTTATGGCTGATGGCGAGTAGTGTACTACCTATATTTTCCTCCAGGAGTTTTATAGTTTCAGGTCTTACCTTCAGGTCTTTGATCCATTTTGAGTTAATTTTTGTGTATGGGGAAAGAAGATGGTCTATTTTCCTTCTTTTGCATGTGGCTGTCCAGTTTTCCCAGCACAATTTATTGAAGAGACTTTCCTTTCTCCACTGTATGTCCTTAGCTCTTTTTTCAAAGATTAGCTGCCCATAGATATGAGGTTTTATTTCTGGACTTTCAATTCTGTTCCATTGATCTGTGTCTGTTTTTTTTTTTTTTTTGCTGCAAAAAGCTTCATTGTTTCTATTTGGTCCACGGCTTGGGAGAGGGCTCCAGGGTGGTTAAAAAGCTACCTAGTGGCTTCAGGAAGAGGCTCAGGCAGAAGCTCTGACACCAAGGGGTTGCCAGAAGGGCCCCTCAAAGGCTGCTGGACTGCGGAGGCTCCTAGTCATGCCTGAGGGTGAGCCTATCCAAGAGATACTCGCCCAGCCCAGCCTGGGGGCCAGCGAGCCTGTGAATGTTGGTCAGGTGGTCACCCATCTTCTTGATGAGTTTCACTTCCTCCTCTAGGAAGTGGTTCTCCAGGAAGTCACAGAGATGGGGGTCTGAGTGGGCAGAACCCAGAGCATGCAGATCCAAGAGGGCCTTGTTCAGATTCTTCTCCAGGGCCATGGCAGCTTCCATAGCCTGCAGGGTGTTGCCCCACTCATCCTGGGACGGCTTCTGCAAGTCTTGGAAGAGGGTGCGGCCGCCGTGCTGGTTTTGCATCTTCAAGAGACGCTCCGCGCCCTCGCCTCACGCTTCTCCTCCGCCAACTTGCGGAAGAAGTGGCACTCGCCCTCCAGAGCCACATCGTCGCGGTCGAAATAGAAGCCCAGAGAGAGGTAGGTGTACAAGGCCCGCAGATACATGTTGACCAGGCGGTTGACCGCGGCCTCCACTTCGGCAGAATAATTCTGACGAATCTGGGAACTCATGGTTGATGGCAGTAAGGAGCTGAGCTCAAAAAATCGGTGTTGGTTGGTCCCGCCGGAGGTAGAGGATGGCTGAGCTGGTCCGAAGGCTACGACTGGAAGAGAGGTTGGAAGGTGGTCGGAGGCTGGAAGAAGGGGGCGTCCCTGGGTCTGTTCCGTCCAAACACTGTTGAAGCAAGAGACAGATCCAGGGGACGCGGAGCGCGCTGCCTGTGTCTGTTTTTGTACCAGTACCATGCTGTTTTAATTATTATCGCTTTGTAGTATGTTTTGAAGTCAGGGATTGTGATTCCTCCAACCTTGTTCTTCTTTTTCAGGATTGCTTTAGCTATACGGGGTCTTTTGTTTCCCCATATGAATGTTAGTATTCTTTGTTCTATTTCTGTGAAGAATGTCCTTGGGATTCTGATTGGGATTGCATTGAATCTGTAGATTGCTTTAGGTAGTATGGACATTTTAACTATGTTTATTCTTCCAATCCAAGTGCATGGAATCTTTTTCCATTTCTTTATCTCATCACTGATTTCACTCAGTAGTGTCTTATAGTTTTCATTATATAGGTCTTTCACTTCCTTGGTTAAATTTATTCCTAGATATTTTATTCTGTTTATTGCAGTTGTAAATGGGATTGTCTTCTTGAGTTCTCTTTCTGTTAGTTCGTTGTTGGTATGTAGAAATGCAACTGATTTCTGTAAGTTGATTTTGTACCCTGCCACTTGGCTGTAGTTGTTGATTATTTCTAATAGTTTTGCAATGGATTCTTTAGGGTTTTCTATATATAAGATCATGTCATCTGCAAACAGTGAGAGTTTCACTTCTTCGTTGCCTGTTTGGATTCCTTTTATTCCTTTTTCTTGCCTAATTGCTCTGGCCAGAACCTCCAGTACTGTGTTGAATAAGAGTGGCGAGAGTGGGCACCCTTGTCTTGTCCCTGTTTTCAGAGGAATGGCTTTCAGTTTTTCCCCATTGAGTATGATGTTGGCTGTGGGTTTGTCATATATGGCCTTTATATGTTAGGGTACTTTCCTTCTATACCCATTTTGTTGAGAGTTTTTGTCATAAATGATTGTTGGATCTTGTCAAAAGCCTTCTCTGCATCTATTGAGATGATCATATGGTTTTTATTCCTCCTTTTGTTAATGTGGTATATCACATTGATTGATTTGCAGAGGTTGAACCATCCCTGTGTCCCTGGTATAAATCCCACTTGATCATGGTGTATGATCTTTTTAATGTATTGCTGTATTCGGTTTGCCAATATTTTGTTGAGGATTTTTGCATCTATGTTCATCAGGAATATTGGTCTGTAGTTTTCCTTCTTAGTATTGTCTTTGCCTGGCTTTGGTATCAGGGTGATGTTGGCCTCGTAGAATGTGTTGGGAAGTGTTCCATCTTCCTCTATTTTGTGGAATAGTTTGAGAAGGACAGGTATTAATTCTTCTTTGAATGTTTGGTAAAATTCTCCAGAGAAGCCATCTGGTCCTGGGCTTTTATTTTTTGGGAGGTTTTTGATTACTATTTCAATCTCTTTACTTGTGATTGGTTGATTCAGGTTCTCTATTTCTTCTTGATTCAGTTTTGGGAGGTTGTGTGAGTCTAGGAATTTATCCCTTTCTTCTAGATTATCCAATTTGTTGGCATGTAGTTTTTCATAGTATTCTCTTATAATCTTTTGTATTTCTGTGGAATCTGTTGTAATTTCTCCTTTTTCATTTCTAATTTTATTTATTTGAGCTTTCTCTTTTTTTTTCTTGGTGAGTCTGGCTAAGGGTTTGTCAATTTTGTTTATCTTCTCGAAGAACCAGCTCTTTGTTTCATTGATCCTTTCTACTGTTTTTTTAATTTCAGTTTCATTTATTTCTGCTCTGATTTTTATTATTTCCCTCCTTCTGCTGACTTAGGTATGTTTTTTAATATCTGTTAACACATTGGTAAATTTTATTCTTGATACATGGATAACTTCCATTGCCGCTTTTGTTTCATAAGTCTTCTCAATAATTAATCTGTCGTTTGAGCTGAGAAACCGTGTTTATTTAGCTTTTGGCTGATATACCTCTCTAAAAGAAACACTACAAGTTGTAGAGGGCATATTTGGAACAAATAGAATTGAGTCATCTTTATCCACAAGACTGATGCTTCTTTTTCTTGGTCATCAATATAGTTACTTGGTGGGTCGGCCCTGTGGCTTAGCGGTTAAGTGCATGCGCTCCGCTGCTGGCAGCCCGGGTTCGGATCCCGGGTGTGCACCGACGCACCGCTTCTCCGGCCATGCTGAGGCCGCGTCCCACATACATCAACTAGAAGGATGTGCAGCTATGACATACAACTATCTACTGGGGCTTTGGGGGAAAAAATAAATAAATAAAATTAAAATATATATATATATATATATATATATATATATAGTTTAGTTTGGAAGAATCTTGATATTGTTGTGGTAGTTTCTAGTTTTGATTTGAGAACCTCCCTGGTCAAATCCTACTGTTCCTACCCTATGGGAGGTTTAATTAGGGAAGGTCCACCCTCATGACTGCCGTGTTCTTTTTGCTTGTTTGTTTTGTGAGGAAGATCAGCCCTGAGCTAACATCCGATGCCAATCCTCCTCTTTTTTACTGAGGAACATTGGCCCTGGGCTAACATCCGTGCCCACCTTCCTCTACTTTATATGGGACGCCGCCACAGCATGGCGTGACAAGCGGTGCGTCGGTGCACACCTGGGATCCGAACCCCAAGCCGCCACAGTGGAGCACATACACTTAACTGCTATGCCACCAGGCTGGCCCCATGACTGCCATGTTTTGATAGAAGAACACCCTCAACATCCAAGGTCTGCCTTTGCCATGTTTGGTTTTGATCATGGGACATCTCCTAGCATCTCCTCTGCATTTGTATCTCAAGAGTTCATTGCTCATCTCATACTGGAGAAGATTACAGTCATGTGCTGTGTAACGACATTTCAGTCAGTGGTTTGACAGTGGTCCCGTAAGGTTAGTACCATATAGCCTAGGTGTGTAGTAGGCTGTACCATCTATGTTTGTGTAAATATACTCTGTGATGTTGGCACAATGAAGAAATTGCCTGATGATGCATTTCTTGGAATATCTCCCTGCCCAATGCATGACTGTACTGCAGTGCTAGAGGTGTTGAATCCAAAGATTCTGTGACATAGGCCTTCTTCTTGTTGCTCTTATGTAAATGGCTACGTCTGATGAAGGATCATAGGGTTACTTCACCAAGAAGTACATTACATTCAGGGACATACTCTGCTTGTCCTCGACATCAAGATGCCCACTGCAGCAGCCAGGTCCACACCAGCAACTCTATCTCGAGAAGCAAATAAATATCTAAATGGAATAAAAATGTTCTCCTTGGCAGGCATAACTATTCAAAGGAGACTTTTTCAGTATTTTATTTCTTTTCTGGAACCTTAATCAGAACTCCATTTCCTGCTTCCTTATTCATGTATTTATTTCATTCATGCAGTATCAGTCTGTGGGGTTTCAGGTCTTGGTGCTGCTGACAGCATTATTAGGGCGTTCCCTTATTTGGAATCCCAGCCATCCAGGAAACAGCTCTGTGTGAGTGTGCGTGTGCGCGTGTGTGTGTGCATGCGCGTGCAGATATTGTTTCCTGTTCCTTGGGTGATTGGCTGTTGTTATACAATAACAAGCTCCAAATACAGGACTGATTTTTTACAAACCTGCCCTCATTGTCCATCAGAGGGAGTGCTATTTCAGTTACCTTATAAAATTTTGTCTTTGAGCCAAAAATGAGGCCCGGTAGTATCTAATATTTTAAAATGTGACTCTAAGTAATTCATTCTAATGGAAAATAATTTTTGGAATTCAAAAGCTATTTCCTTACTATATCATTCTTTAGATCTTAGATTTTTTTCAATCGTTGTTGTTTTTAATTATGTGGCATTTTTATGTTACTTAAATTAGTGTTTATCACAACTTTTTCCCAAAGGGAGAGAGTTGATTTTTTTTTTTTTTTTGGAGGAAGATTAGCCCTGAGCTAACGTCTGTTGCCAATCCTCCTCCTTTTTGCTGAGGAAGATTGGCCCTGGTCTAACATCCATGCCCATCTTCCTCTACTTTATATGGGACGCTGCCACAGCATGGCTTGATAAGCGGTGTGTAGGTCTGCACCTGGGATCCGAACCCGCAAACTGTGGGCTCTGGAGCAGAGCACAAGAACTTAACCACTACGCCACTGGGACAGCCCCGAGAGTTGATGTTTTACATCAAGAATTAAAGCCCACAGGCCTCTGTTGATACTTGGATGTGTTTTGCAAATGCAGTTAAAAATGTTGTGTCCAAATGTTAGGCTTCTTCAAGTGGTTGCACACATCAGAATTGTTCAATTTCCAAAAGTGAGGACCATGGGGGCATTGGTGAGGCAGAGAGCCTGTGTCATGCAGACCTGGATTATATTTTAGAAAGTAGTTACTAAGGGGCCGGCCCCGTGGCGTAGCGGTTAAGTGGGCGTGCTCCGCTACTGGTGGCCCAGGTTCGGATCCCGGGCGCGCACCGACGCATTGCTTGTTGGGCCACGCTGAGGCCGCGTCCCACATACAGCAACTAGAATGATGTGCAACTATGACATACAACTATCTACTGGGGCTCTGGGGAAATAAAAGGAGGAGGATTGGCAATAGATGTTAGCTCAGGGCCGGTCTTCCTCAGCAAAAAGAGGAGGATTAGCATGGATGTTAGCTCAGGGCTGATCTTCCTCACAAAAAAAAAAAAAAAGTAGTTACTAAGCTCTCTGAGCCTCAGTTTCCTCATTTGTGAAATGGGATGGTGACTATCTCACAGTTGTCGTGAGGGTGGAAGAATAATGGGTGTAAAGCGTTTTTGATGGTGCCTGGAACGATACAGGTCTCGAATAGATGGTGGAGCTTATTTTCCTGGCTGTTAGAACCTGGGTGACTGTGTGTCTCTGTTTTCCTGGGACTGTTCTGTTTTATGCCAGTTGTCCTAGCATAATTATTAATAGCACCTTTTGCTCTCAAAAGTATCCCAATTTGGACAATGATTGTATGGTCACCCTAGTTAGAATCCAGAAGTGTTTTTAAACCCTGATAAGTCTAAGAAACGAATCTGAGGCTTTTTGTCATGTTTCCCGTTCCTCACTTTGTCACTTGCTCTCAAACTTAGGCATTGATCACCAGTTACAAGTAGAAAAAGTCAGATGGTGGTGTGTGTACAGTACAAATATATGCTCTAATAGCTCTATTTTTGTAGAAAGGAAGCTCTTCATCTCTGAAGAGGCAAGTCACCAGCTTGAATATTTTCTGTATTTCAGGAACCATTTGTAATCCTGGACCACGGAAATCTATGTCTAAGCTGCTTTACATCCGCCTAGCGCTCTTTCTGCCAGAGATGGTCTGGGCTTCTCTAGGGGCCGCCTGGCTGGCAGACGGTGTTCAGTGTGACAAGACAGTTGTGAATGGCATCATTGCAACCGTCGTTGTCAGGTGAGGTCTTTCATCTTCTCTTTCAGTTTCTTGTCTCAAATGCACTTCTGAGTCCCTGCAGATAGCCCAATGTCATGCAGGCTTCCTAAAATAGTTAGAAATTGGACCTTTTTGAGTAAATCATAAAAATTTAGAGACACTTGTTTATACTTGAGAAATAATTCATCTTCCATTATGCATTTGTTGATGTAGTTTTTTTTCTTACTGGTTCTCATTTTTCTGCATTCCTTCCCTTCTCTTATAAGAAAGAAGAAAACCTGACGACCAAAACAAGGGCAAAAACTAAAGGTAGGGTGAGAAGAAATAAGTGTCAGGAATTGCAACAGAGACTAGTATACTAGAATAAGGTTTTTGCATTTTCCAGGCTAAAAATCTTAGAAATGATCTAGTTGCATCCCCTTGTGTTATAAATAAGGAAACCGAGACTCATGCTGATGCTGCCTTTCTGAGTCGCACAGCCAGGGGCAGCAGAGTCCCTTCATAGAGGTTCATCTTCCCACTAGCACACACATTAGTGAATCCACAGTGCCTTGCACATCGTGGGCTGTCTAGAAATATTTAAACGTATGAATGAAAGACCTCTCAGAGTCTCCCACGGTACGGCAAAATTCTTTTGGTTTTACCGAGAAGAAGCCTGAGGCACTGAGGAGTAGTAAGGGCCTGGGTCATGGACAGGGGGGTGTGGAGAACAAGTTCTGGCTGCTTCTTTGCCCAGGCTGCAATTCTGCCTACTAGACAGCTCCTTTTCTCTTTTGTGGTCTTTACTTTTAGGGCTCTGATCTTTCAGGGGCCTGGGTTAGCCGTGGGCTCATAAGGAACTTTCTAGAAGACACAAGTGCTCATGTCAGCCAGGTTCTGGGAGATCCCCATCTCCCTCAGTAACTAGAGCCACAGTTGTACAGATGCAAAAACTGAACCCACAGGAGGGAGCCTTTGGCTCCTGCATCTGGACGTAGGACCCACAGTCATCAGCCCTTTTCCTCTCTGTTTTGCAGTTGGATTATCATCGCCTCCACTGTGGTTACCATTATCGTTGTCTTTGACCCACTGGGGGGGAAAATAGCTCCGTATTCCTCAGCTGGTCCCAGTCGCCTGGATAGTCATGAGTCGAGCCAGTTACTTAATGGCCTCAAGACAGCGGCTGCAAGTGTGTGGGAAGCCAGAATCAAGTTCTTGTGCTGTTGTATTGGGAAAGACGACCGTACTCGAGTTGCTTTTTCGAGTACGGCAGAGCTTTTCTCAACCTGCTTTTCAGTAAGCTAAAGGGGTCTGGTTTGGTCTCTTTCTTCTGTTTAAGTAAATCTTATGTTAAGATGAGTACTCTGTATTTTGAGCCACTCCTCCTGTTCACATAAAATAGCTTTTAAGAATTTGTGATCTGTGTGTGTGGTAGAATTGGGAGTGAATACCCTGCCTGGAGTGAGTACTCAAGTACTCTAGGGAGCGTTAACCAAGGGCTCTGCATTTTCAGACCCTGCCTTTCTACTTGGTGCATCCTGGTGTTGACCCCTGTTCATTACACTGTTAAGACTTTGAATTCGTTTTTAAGAAACTAAATAATGGAACCTATACATTTTGGGAATAATTCACCGGTTGTCTTTTCATATCCAACTGGTACTCAGCAGATACCAGGTACAGTCAGTGTCATGCATCCAAGGTAGTATCAGACCTTGGTTTCTTACTACTTTATAGCATGATAGAAATGACAGATTATTCTACTTTTGAAGAAATGTTTGAATAGATTATTACAATCCAGAAAGTCATCATTCTAGAGTAATTTCTTCAGTGATTTGGAAATAATTTTTTTTTTCACATCCAATGTGTGTCGTTTCATATAATGTTCTCTGATAAACTGCTTATATTCAGTATTGAGACCAAGTAAGGGAGAGGAGTTCTCTTGACATCTCCTGCCTGCCTGCTGGTCTGTCTCTCACCCCTCTGTGGTGTCTGAGTCTGCACTGGCCAGGGCTGGCCCTGTAGCCTAACATCAGGCTGTAGCAGCAGCCTCCATGTAGGGATTAGAGAAGTGTGTCCCCCTAGATAATTTTAAAGAAGTGCTTCAACCTAGTCTTCAGATAGTTGGAAGAAGGAAGAAGAGAATCTGGCTATTCTTGGAGGATGTCTTAACCTGCATCCTAGGCAGAACTGATGGCCCATTGGCCAAGTGGCCAGTACCTGGTCCTTTCTTAGGGACCACAAGTGCCTGAAGGTGGTTGAGGATTCCTGCCTGTTCCATATCCCTCCTGAAAGAGAAGGGTAAGTCTGCTCAAGAGACTCACTGTGTTGCTTTCCTCGTTTGAGGTTCTTTTTGAGGCTTGCTGTAGTCTGTGGGTATAAATTCAGTCTCATAAATCTCTACCATGGACTCTTTCAGCAGAACCTTCACGGCATCTTGAGTGGTGAGAGTATAAACTTGGGCTAAAATCAGCCATTACTACAAAGATAGTGAATTTATCCATTTACTCCCCCTCTTGACAAAAGATGTGAAGTAGATTAAAGATAGCTAAGTCACTTGAGGTGAAATTTGAAAATAGAGATCAGCAGAATTTTTATGTTCTCCATTGGATTTGTCTGAGGGCAGGGTAGTAAAAAAACATTAAACTCACATATAGGAAAAGTCCTGAAAGAAAAATACTTTTTAAAATACTTTTTTACATGTAACTGTATCTGTGTGTCTGTGCATGTGAACTATATAAACCTAGATTTTAAGGAACTCCTGGGCAATTCCTGCTGAGTTTCATGACAAGCCGTTGTGGTCTCCCATCCAGGACACAGATCTGGTGCCCAGCGACATCGCGGCGGGCCTCACTCTTCTCCATCAGCAGCAGGACAATATCAGGAATAACCAGGAGCCTGATGAAGTGATCAGCCATCCCCCAGAGCCCTCCCAGGTAAGCCCATGTTTCTGTTGGGTTGTACAGTTTTGACATTTACACTTATTTGTAAATATTCAAAAAAAAAAGAGAAAACTAGCCAGCAGCAGTTGCAGGAGCAGTTGGCTTAGAATCTGATTTTGACTATCTATTATATGTTTAAAGCAGCCTCTTTTAGGAAATAGGCTGTTGGAGTCTACACATCAAAAATTCCTTCGAGGGTAGGACCTGATTCTCCCTTGATGTGTTTGCTCTCTTCTTTGGGCCTGGGGAGCAGAAACAGTTCCACTTGGCTTGATGATAGTTTTCCTGCCACAGATTTTTATGCTTTTGAAAGAGAAAATTGCACATAGGTGTATGTGTTTGCACCTTATTCCAGCACCTAGTTCTTAGCAGCTCGTTTGTTGCAGTGGCGTGGAAGTCTGCTAGTCTTCACGTGCATCTAGCAGGAAGTCACCAGCTCATTTCACCAGGAGTCAGAGCAGTCATTAGGGGTTTTTTTGCCGTTAACTCCCACTGTTGGAGTTAGTTGCTGCATTCGTATAAAATGAGGGGTATTTAAGGACCAGTTTTCCCTATGGAAGTCCCCTGAGAGGTCTATTCAGTGAAGAAGGAAAGGGAAGAATCAGGAATGTGAATTCAAGTTTAAGATCTTAGTGTGTTCATCCTCTCCATAGGGTTCCCCTAAACAAAAAGGTTTTTTTCTTCTCTTACAGGAAGCTGATTTGGATGCAGAGTTAGAAAATTGCCATCATTATATGCAGTTTGCAGCAGCTGCTTATGGCTGGCCTCTCTACATTTATAGAAACCAATTTACAGGGCTGTGCAAGATTGGTGGTGACTGGTAGGTTGGCACCATCTGAGGCCTCCCTCTTCCTTCTGGATGTCGCTTGCTATGATTCCCCATACTTTATTTTCTAAAAATAATCATATTTCCATTTTAAAAAAACTTTCTATTATGAAATATTTCAAAAACTGCAGGGCCGGCCCCGTGGCTTGGTGGTTAAGTGAGCACGCTCCGATGCTGGTGGCCCGGGTTCGGATCCCGGGCGCGCACCGAGGCACCACTTCTCTGTCTATCCTGAGGCCGAGTCCCACATACAGCAACTAGAAGGATGTGCAGCTATGGCATACAACTATCTACTGGGGCTTTGGGGGGAAAAAATAAATAAATAAAATCTTAAAAAAAAAAAAAAGCTTGCTTTTAAAAAAAAAAAAAAAACTGCAAGTGCAGTACTGATAACTCCCATACATCCTTTATCTAGAGTCCCCAGTTGCAACTCATGTTTGTCCCGTGTGCTGTGTCCCTCCTCTGTATTTACGTATTTTTCCCCTGCACCACTGGAGATTTAGATGCAGGCATCCTGCCTCTTTATCTCTAATTACTTCAGTCTGTATTTCTGAAGAACAAGGACATTCTTTACATAACTACAGTACAGTTATAAAATTCGGGAAACTTATCCTTAATCTTTAGCTAATTTACACCTTGTATTCACATTTTTCCAGTTATTCCAATAATATCCTTCAGAGCAATTTTCCCTGCAATCCAGGATTACACATTGCGTTTAGTTGTCATGTCTCCTTAGTCTCCTTCAATTTGGAACAGTTCCTCAGTCATTTTTTGTCTTTCATGATACTGACATTTTGAAAAGAACAGTCCAGCTATTTTGTAGAATGGACCTCAGTTTACATTTGTCTGATGGTTTCTTCATGATTAGATTCAAATTATACCTTTCTGGCAGGAATGCTCCATGAGGAATGTTGTGTCTTTCTTAGTATATCATATCAGGAGACACGTGATGCCAGTTTGTCCCATTACTGGTGATGTTAGGGTCTCTCCCATCGTTGTTGATTTATTTTTTGAATGTAAAGCATTAACATGATTCCAGAAGTCAAAACTCTGGTAAGAAGTATATACAGTGGGCCGGCCCCGTGGCTTAGTGGTTAAGTGCACGCGCTCCGCTACTGGTGGCCTGGGTTTGGATCCTGGGCGCGCACCGACGCACCGTTTCTCCGGCCATGCTGAGGCTGCGTCCCACATACAGCAACTAGAAGGATGTGCAACTATGACATACAACTATCTACTGAGGCTTTTGAGGGAGGGAAAAAGGAGGATTGCCAATAGATGTTAGCTCAGAGCCAGTCTTCCTCAGCAAAAAGAGGAGGATTAGCATGGATGTTAGCTCAGGACTGATCTTC